CTCCTGGAAAAAAAAGCAAAACAAGAAACAAACAGGCAATTGCTGATCTAGAAGTGAGAGATGTGGAGACTACCAGGTACTAAATTCAGCCAAAACTATTTTCAATTTGCCTTTTAAATGGCTGCTAAGTGGTCCCCCCAAAACCTATCACCCAAATAAAACAAAGTCGAATAGCCTGTGGTCTATGCAATCCATCACACACAAAATTCCACACTATGTGGATTATTAAAATTTATAATATGACAATAACTGTGGAACCAAAGGAATAAAACACACTCATGTGAAAAGGGAAAACCTCTTATGAGAAGTAGGGTTTTAAGATGGGTATTAGAAGAAGGAATTCTATGAAGAGGGAGAGAAAATTTACAGCTTCAAAGACCTGCTTGAGCAAAAGCAAGGCACTCTGCCAGGATATACGAACACATTAAGGTAAAGCACAAACAAGAACATTAGCAAGCAGAAAAAATGAATAATATTGAGCAGGCAACATATTTTGTTACAGGTTCTGAGTTTCAGAAGCCAAGATTATAATTGATAGTAAAACTCCTGCATGCAAGAATCAGGAATGCACAAATCAGGGTTGGTTTTTTTCTTTTTTTTCAGTACTGGGGTTTGAACTCAGGTCTTTATGCTTGCAAGGAAGGTACTCTATTTACTTAAGCCATGCCTCAAGCCTCAAGCCCAGATTCAAGTTTTATTACACAAAGAAGCTGAAAGTTTTAAAAAATACTTTCTTGTGATAATTGGCAAATAGAACTAATAAGTAAGCACATATCTAACTCTAAATTATGTATGTGTGGACACATTTTCATTCTGAATTGAGTTAAGGATGGGGGTTATAGTCTCAGGAAGAATGTTATAGATTTTGTTTTAAATAATAGACACTAAAAAAGAAAAGATCCTATTAATATTATTATTAACCACAAAATAAAATCTGTACTTCTTGACTTACATCTGAGGTCTTCCGCGATCTGGCCCTACTACCTTCCCTGCCCTAGCCTGGGTCACCTCTTTCCTGAACCCCTCTCAGGTTGCAAGCCTTTCCTATTGGCTTGATACAAAATTGTATTATTCCTTCTCCTGTTTATTTTGGTTCAGGGTATGTATCTCTTCAGGGAGACTCTAACTCTCTAAAGGATCTGTCTCAATTATATTTTGTTCTGCTCAATCTAACTATGCATAGTGAAAGCACTGAATCTGAATCCAATAAGCAGAAATTAACTGAATTCATTTGTTCATTCTATTCTTTCCTTGATAGGATTGCTGTTCCACTGTACTCTCCTTCCATGTCACAGACTACAGACTTGCTAGCAAAAACACTTACAGCAAACAAGAAGTGGATACACTAAGCAGTAATCTTCTAAACCTTGAACTGTAGGGAATGAACACATTTTGGGGGGAAAAATATCCCAAAATTTTAAATAACATTTTGATCAACAACTTTATAGGAGCCTCCTATGGGCATAAGACAAGGCAAAGGCCTTAGAGGCTCAGATGTAAAGTGGTGGTATTGAAAGGTAAAAAGAACTCTAGCAGAAGAGTCAGGGGACCCCAGCTTTAGTCAAAGGCCTACCTCTGTGACTCAGGATTCATTATCACCCACAAATCCCTGAGGAGTGCAAGCCACCCCAATCTTTGTCTTAATTCATTGATTGCTGTCTTGTCCCTAGCATTGTGTTCAGTGCATAGTAGGGTGCTCAGTAAGAACTTGTTACAGAATCCTGGGTTGGGCATTGAGCTCTGTCCTGAAGAGGCTCTTTTTTAGGACAAAGATGACCAAATAAGCAATTATGAAAGATGACAAATCATTGCAATTAGTAAGAACTAATACGGTTCTCATACTTTTTAGCATTTATTGTGGATCTGATAGAGTTCCCGATGCATTGCTACTGTAGTATGAATGTTTGTGTTTTCCCCAAATTCACACTTTGGAATCCTAACCCTCATTGTGATAGTACTGATAGGTGGGGCCATTGAGAGGTGATTAGGCTGTGGGGATGGAGCCCTCACAAAAGAGATTAGTGTCATTATTTTTAAAGGCCCATGGAAGCTTGTACTAGTCAGATTTTCATTGCTGTGACAAAATACCTGAGATAAATAAAGTTAAAAAGGAAGAAAAGTTTATTTTGGATCACAGTTTTCTAAGTTTCAGTCCATAGTCAGTTGACTCTGCTGCCTTTGGCCTTGTGAGTGTTCATCATGGTGGATGGGAGGGAGAGAGAGAGAAAGAAAGAAAGAATAAGGGAAGAGGAAAGAAAGAAAGAGAATGAAAGAAGAAGGGACCATGGTTCCAACATGCCCTTCAAGGACATGCCCCTGATGACCTAACTTCCACCAGAATCCACTTCATATAAGTTCTACCACTTCTTACTAGTGTCACAGGCAGGCAAACAAGCCTTCAACACACAGGCCTTTGGGGAATATTTAAGATCTCTAACAGTGCTCTTTTGTCCCTTCTAGCTATGTCCTCAGTGCTAGAAGGTGCTATCTGAATCAGGAAGTGGACCTTTACCTGATACCAAGTGTACTTGCACCCTGATCTTGGAATTCCAGCTTTCAGAACTGTGAGAAGTAAATGTTGTTTGTATGTCACCCAATCTATAGAATTTTTGTTACAGCAGCCGGAATGGATGACTGAACCATCGTTATTTCCACTTTCATAGGCACAAGTAGGTGAAGTAACTTGCTGATGGTGTTTGAAAGCAATGAACCCAGGGAGTTCTGTCTCCAGGGCCTTTGCAAGGAATTAATGCAGTACACACACAAGCCAGAGAAAAAGTCTGACTGCTCCTCAGAAGCACTGAGGTTTCTCCTAGGCCTAGGATTGTAGATGATGGAACACCAGTGATAACAAAACATAGGACTATGGAAAATGTTTATGAAAGTCCTTCCATTGGGAACATAAGGGTGCTTCTCAAACGAGACTTCTTTGAAAACACTCAGAATCTTCAGATAAGAAATCCCAGATTTTCTGACTCAGTGAGGTTGGAATGGGGACATGGAATCTGTCTTTTTAAGTGCCCAACTGATACTAGAGGTCTTCAGTGTTCTCCAGGGGACCCCTTAGGCTCAGATTCTGTGCTCTCTTCCCATGCCTGGCTCTCCTCTGGCCATGTCTGTTAAGTTTTGACAATATAGTGCAAGTGATGCTGTTCAGGGCACTGCACCTTTAGAAGTGTCTGGTAAGACAGGCATCACAGTCTCTATTAGGTTGGTAATCTCCATGTGTCTTGTTTGTTTCTTTGTTTTTTGTTTGTTTTGTTTGAATTGTCCCCTCTTGAGGCCTGTACCACACTCTGCTTAACATGCTCAGCTTGCAATTCCATGTACAAGAAATGTCTACAGAGTGAACTGCCGAATAACATGAGCCAGGCCCTGCGGGGGAACTTGCCACCAGCCCAGACCTTGTGAGGCTCACGGATGGGTGAAGTATACAAATACCTGGGTGAACTACAGAATCTGGTGATAGGCAGTCATAACAACTGAAACATGATCAGCATGGTACCCCGCACAGGAACAAACAAATCATGCTACACAGGCAGATGTACTCTGTGGGAGACCATGACAGAAGCATACCTTTGAAGTTGCTGTGGTGTGAACCATGTCCTCCGACAATTCACATGTTGAAATCCTAACTGCTAGCATCTCAGAATGTGACTGTGCTTGGAGACAGGGTCTTTGAAAAGGCAATATAGTTAAAATCAAATCACTGGGGGCAGTCCTTATAAGAAAGGGAGACCTGAGAGAAAACCATGGGAAAACACAGAGATGGGCCATTTGCAAGTCAAGGAGAGAGGCCTCAGAAGAAACCAACCAACACTTGTGAGAAAAACAATTTCTATAGCTTAAGCTTCCCCGGTCTGTGCTAGTTTGTTATGGCAGCCCTAAGCAAACTGCTACAGGAGTACATCAGGAAAATTTACTAAACCAACTACAGAAATTAAATGTTATCTTTTAAGTTGCTGGAAGCCCAGAGATGTGGAAGCACGAATGTGACCAATTAGCAACTTTGGTTCTGGGATATAATTTGGGAACAACGGGGACACTGACTGGGAGAACAGGAGATGGAACTGCAGAGGTCATTTTTTTCAATGTGGAGTAACACGAGACACAAAACAAGGCCTGGGCGGAAGAAAAGCAGCGGTCTTATCAGAGAGGCCTTTGTGAGCAGAAATAAGACCTAAAGAGAGGCAAGCCGAGAGAGGAGACAGATGAGACTATCGTGAAGACCAACCTGGGAAGGGAGGAGGACAGTGATGTCCAAACCTCAAATGCGGACACCGGAGGTGAAGCAGGTTTAAAAGACAAGGGAAAAGATTTTTTTAAACTTTTTTTTTTGGAGTAGTTTCAATGTTGGGTCAGCGGAGTAGAAATGAAGTTCGAGACTTCGGACCTGAGGTGGGAGTCTGTTATCTGGTGCTGGTCAGAGGGGAAATGAGATCAGGGTGAAAGCACCAACAATCTGAGTCTGAACTTCCAACCCTTGGGATCCCACAATGTATGGAGAGGCGAGACTGAAGAAAGCACTCAACGAACAGCAGAGCCCAGGAGAGGGCCTCCAGATGCAAAGCAGCCCTAGTAGTTCGTTCCTGGTTTCCATTTCTTTGCTCCTGCTGGAAACCACTTCAGGCCGCATTTCTCACCGTCTCATGAAAGGATCCTGGTCTTCCCCCTCACCGCCACCGCCCCCCACCCACTTTGGGTAAATCGAGGCATAGTGGATGGCCACCACCCTGGGCCCAAGCCTCGATCCCAGGTCGGTCGGGCAGTGACCTCCGCAGGAGCCCTTTCCCGCGGGCGGGTCAGCAGCCCCGTCCCTTTTCCCCCCTCCCCCAATGGAATGTGGGCGCCCTCTGCACTGGGAACGCGGGCCGGGGCGCCGCCGGGCGCGCGCGGGCTCTGGGGCGAGGCGCGGGGAGGCGGCCGAGGGGGCGGGCGAGGGACGCGGGCCCGCGGGGCGGTCGGGGCGGGGAGCGAGCGGCGGCGCGGGGACCCCGGGAAGAAAAGAACATGGCTCCGGCGGCAGACAGCGCCGAGGGCGGCGCGGCGCATCCGCGCTCCGGGCGCCACTGATCGCCATGGTGAACTCGAGCCGCGTGCAGCCGCAGCAGCCCGGGGACGCGAAGCGGCCGCCGGCGTCCCGAGCGCCGGGCCCGGGCCGGCTGATGGCGGGCGGCCTCCGGGAGCCGCGGGGCCTGGAGATCGAGATGGAGCGCATCCGACAGGCGGCCGCGCGGGACCCCCCGGCCGGAGCCTCGGCCTCCCCGTCCCCTCCGCTCTCGTCCTGCTCCAGGCAGGCGTGGAGCCGCGATAACCCGGGCTTCGAGGCCGAGGAGGAGGACGACGACGAGGAGGTGGAAGGGGAAGAAGGGGGAATGGTGGTGGAGATGGACGTAGAATGGCGCCCAGGCAGCCGGAGGTCGGCCGCCTCCTCGGCGGTGAGCTCCGCGGGCGCCCGCGGCCGGGACTGGGGGGCTACACGGCGCGGGCCACCCGAGCGGGAGGCGGCATCGGCGAGAGGACCAGGCCCCGCCGTGTCCCAGCCCGGCCGGCGGCGGGGACCCGCTGCATCGCCACCTCCCGCTGGACGGGCAGCCGCCCCGAGTGGCCTGGGCGGAGAGGCTGGTTCGCGGGCTGCGAGGTAAGAGCGCGATGCGCGGCGGTTGGTGCGGGGCGACGGTCCCGACCCTCACCCGCTGCGGGCCGCGGTCCCCGGCTCCACCTCGCATCCCCTTGGTGTCCCCGCCTCCCTGGAAGCCGGTCCCACCTCTGCTAATTCAGCTGTTTCCGGTCCCCAGCGTCCGGTACCTCTGTGCCCTTGTTGGTGCAAAGTTGTTGGTACCTCCCTCTCTTCTTTTGTACTTTTGAAAAGAAGAGAAAGCCATTTAGGGGTACGCCTGGCGTAGTGAAGTGGTGTTGTAATCGCATGGTTGCTACATAAACAAAAGCAAAAAGAAAAATGTATGTCAGCATCCATGCTGTTCCTCTGCCTTCACGCTTCTGGTCCCCTCATCCCGTCTGGAAAGGGTGGCAATGGATAACATTGAATCTAAGTTGTGGGAGCAGTGTCATTGATGTGTTGGTGATGCCTATGGTTGTTTGGAAGTTGTGAGAACACCACGAATGGAATACAATACTGTTTATAAAGATAGACATTTGTCCAGTTGTAATTCTAGACATTTTTCTAAAACAGTTGCAAAAAAAAAAAAGCTACATTGTTTCAAGAATCTTGGAAGGATGTTTTAAAATAAGTGTTTTTTGCAGTTCCAACAAAACGATGACATCTACAGATAGCAGCTGATGAATTTGTCAGAGTACAGTGCTCCCAATTCTCCAAAAGGCAGGAAAGGAATTTTCAAATTTGCCAGTACCTAGTAAGAGGACACAGATTTTTCCAATGCAAATGGGATCCCATGTTTGCAACATTTTGTCAGAATCATCCTTGGAAAAATGTTACATTGAGTCTTATCCACCAAATTCTTTTGATTTTCACTTTTAAGTGTTTCCATGTTCGGTTCTTTTGAAATTCTCCCTGCCCTCCCCTTTCTGTCAGTTTTGAGTCACACAAAAACTGACCCAGTGATGTTGGAACATCACGGTTAAGGCTGGTCAGCGATATTGTAGCAGCATGGCTAAAGATCCTAGTTCTTCTCACTGACTGTGTGACCTTGAGCAAGTTATTTAACCTCTCTAATCCATAAAACATTGCATCTATCAAAAAGAAAAGGAATAATACTCAGTCCTTGATTTGTTGGAAGAATTAAATGAAATAAAGCATTGAAAATGGGTAGCAAGTTATATGTTATAAAATTATAAAAGTACATTTTGATACTTCTGTTACATGTTTGTTTATACTAGTTAGTTGGACTTGGGGCATGGTGGAAAAAAAAGCTCCTTTTCAGGGCTCAGAACTATATTAAAACACATTATCTTTTATGCTGTGTAAATGTGCTTATTGAAAACATTCACTAGAGTGAGATGTTCCTTGTAAGGTAACAATGGTAGACTCACATGGTCTTCTTAATTTCTTTTTGAACATATGATAGCACTTAACCTTGCTTGACTAAACTCAATAACAGAATACAAGAAAATGAAATATATGTTTTTATATGAGGGCATGTTACAAGTTTATTTCTTTTAAAGAAAAAAATTCAGGAAACGTACAGTGAATAAGTTGATAATCTTAAACCCCTGGGTCGGACTGTATCAATAGGGCTTCGAGATATGGCTTCTGGAAGGTGGGATACCTGGGGAGGGCACGGGAGCTCTGCACCTCTTCCCAGGGCCCTGCCTGTATATTTCTTCCTCTGTATCTTGGTAATATCCTTTAAAATAAACGAGTAAACATTAAAAAAAGTAATAATACCCATATCAATGATTTAATTTGTAGGAGGGCAGGGAAATTTTTGATTTTAGAAAGATTTTAAATAAATTTCATTTTATTACCTTCTGTTATGAAGAAATATAATTAGCATCCTGGTCACTGATTACATAAGCAACATTTATTAAGTATTTAGCACCAACTATGAAGATAGCACTGTGCAAGCAGCTATATAAGGAAATAAACAAGAGTAACACATCATTTTCCACTGGACAGAACCCAAAAATGTAAAATAAATAAATCATGAATGAAGTGCATTTTTTTCCCCCTCTTAGGAATATTAGTGATGGAAATCTTCATGCACCAATGTAAACAGTGCCTTAGGACCAGAACAGAAAGTAACTTTTGCAGTGTTTAAAGGTAGGGGAGATTAGTGACATCTGGAGTGATCAGGTCTTCCCCAAACTTCTCCTGCCTTTATGAGTTTATGCAACTCATTCAAACTTCCAGGCTCTCAGCTCTTCATTTATGAAATGAAGAAACTGAATTTAATCTCCAAGGTCACTTCTAGCTTCAACATACTCTGGTTGTTGTTTAGTGACATAAATTCCAGATGGACAGCAAATGGTTATTTTGTGCTCCTTGGACAGAAGTAAGATAGCCAAGAAAGATGTCTGAGGCCTGGTTTGGAGTGTATTGCATCTAACAAAGGAATTAAAAGTGTATCTCTAGCTGTTAAGAAGCAGTGGAAGGTTTCTGAGCAGGAATAGCATGTTGACAGGAGACGAGTCAGCAGCATGGTGTTCAGGAGAGCTTGCAGAGGGAGACACCAAAGCAGGACGACTCTGAGCCAGGCAGACGGGGCAGGAGGCAGCCAGTGAGGATGTGCTAAAGGCCTGGACCAGAGGAAGAAAAGGATGGCTGAGTTAAAGATGGTGCCCAACAATCTTGATGATGACAACTATGATGATTAGCAAACCCTTTTTAGTAGAAAGGCCCTTTATAAGTTGTCTGAATTCCTAAAGTAGAATGTTTTATGGATGTATCAACTTGCTAAAGTGAGTTCCTGCTTGATATTTAGATATGTACTCTTGGCCTTTTTTTGTTCTAGAAAATCACAAGGTATAGTGTGAGTATCCCTTTTCTGAAGTGCTTGGGCCCAGAAGTCTTTCAGATTTTGGAATAATTGCATATACAATGAGATATTTTAGGAATGGGACCCATGACTAGACATAGAATTCATTTGTTTCATACATACCTTATGCCCATAGGCTGGAGGTAATTCTACACAATACTTTAACCAGCATTTTGACTCTGACCTGTCACAGGAGGTCAGGTGTAGAATTTTCCACTTGAGATATGCTGGCACTCAAATCATTTTAGATTTGAGATTTTCAGATTAGGGTGTTCTGCTTATACTGTCTGTATTGGTCAGAGTGAGCTAAGCTGCTATAACAAATAAATATTGCTCTCTATTCAGTGCCCTAAAGAATTTAATTTCTTGGTTGTTTCAAGGAGGATATTCCAATTTAGCAGCAGCTCTTGTCTGTGTGGTTATTTGGGGACATAATCCCTTTCCCTCAGATGACTCTCCTCGAGCCCTGTCACTATATCCATGATCAAAGCTGGACATCCAGGTTCTGGGTTCAGCCTGGGGCCTGTGCGTGCTAGCCGAGTGCTCTAGCACTGAGTCTCATCCCTAGCCCTGCTGTTGTCTTAAAAGCTTTATTCTGTAAACAGCCTCCATCCCTTCCACTTAGGCTCCACTGGCAAAGTTCTTAACCACATAACCAAGAATACCTGCAAAGAAGACTAAAAAAACATTATATTCACATGTCTAGAACAGGAGAAATGGATTTTGGTAGACAGCTAGCAGTCTCTGCCACATTACTGCTAGGGCTGAAGTGAAAGATTAGGTCTACTCTTATCTTTCCTAAACTAATCGGACTTTGACATTGAAATTAGTGTGCTGTTTGTATTTGAAAAGTGACTGTCAACACAGACTAACACATTGATTTGTCTTGCTAAACTCTGTTTAACTTGCCTTTTCCCTGTCTTCCCTTTTCATATCTAAAGGGAGGAGCATATCCGTTATGGGAAAGGTTATTGAGACTCAAAAAAATCTGAACTTGACTATAGTTGCTGGCACCACACCAAGTTGATAAACATTGAATAACCCATTCTTAGTTGTAGCTTGTGATGGTCCTAGTGTGGTGACTGATCAGTTTAGCCTGCCTTGAGGTTCAGAATTCAGTTCTTTTTCATCATCAACAGAGCCTTATCCTGAATTAGGAGTTTTGAACTGGGAGTGAGAGGCAGTTGTGTCCCTGAGGAGACAATAGTATCTGAATATATATTTGGTTTTCACAATGCAGGTGGGAAGTGGGTTGCTCCTGGCATCTACTGAGTTAAGGCGAAGGAAATTACTAATTTTCCTACAGTGCACAAGAAGTCCCACCCCCACACACTACATGTGTTATCCCACCCAAACTGTTGGGAGTGTAGAGGTCAAGAAAACTTGCTTGGGGTTGTTAAACTGAATAAAAAATAATAATTTATTGCTCACTGTGTGCCAGGCATTGTGCTGAAATCCTTACTATGGACGCAGTTTCATTTTATGCTTAGGGGAGCACTGTGAAGGAGGTACTACCATCACCACTTCACTGATGAGGAAACTAATGGTTCTAGATGTTAAGTGACTTGCCCAACGTCACAGCTATGAAATGTTGGAATTAAGTCTTAATTCCAGTCATTGGAGCCAAAGGTGCTATTTACCGACAGTACACAAACCTAACTTTTGCCAGCTGCTTTTCACTTTTTCTTACTTTCTAGATGTTGATTCATCAGGAGATTCAGAAGAACTCATAGCATAATCTGCTTATCCTAATTTTTCATTGATCTAGAGAGTGGAGAGTCTGCTTTTCTTTTTCTTTTTTTCAGAACATTGTGTGAAATGTACATAATGTAAAGTTTACTGTTTCAAGTGTATAATTCAGTGGCATTAGTGCATTCAGAACTGTGGATTTCCTTAGCTCTTAGTGTTTTGTTCAGCACATTTTCATCAGCTCACACAGAAGCCCTGGACTCTCTAAACATTAACTCTCATTCCACCTGCCCAAGCCACTGCTAACCTCTGTTCCACTTTCTGTCTCTGTGAATTTCCCAGCTCATATCTACTGGAAGTGAAGTCAAGCAATATGAGTCCTTTTGTGTCTGGCTTATTTCATTTAGCATAATGTTATTGGCATCTCCATGTGGTAACATGCATCTGCATTTCATTCCTACTTATAACTGAGTCATATTCCACTGGATGTATATTCTACATTTTGTTTATCCATTCTTTAGTTGATGGAAATTTCACCCCCTCCTCCCCACTTTTTGACTAGTGTGACTTTCCCTTTATTTTTGTTGTTGTTCTCTCTTTCTCCTTTTCCTCCCCCTCCCTCTCCTCCTACCCTCCCCTCTCCTCCCCCTCCCCCTCCCTTTTTGAGACTGGGTCTCACTATGTAGCCCAGCTTGGCGTCTAATTTGCTATGTGCCAAAGCGAGAGCACACAAGGCAGGGGTGAGGATAGGTAAGACACCTAAAAAACTAGCTAGCATTTGTTGCCCTTAATGCAGAGAAACTAAAGCAGATACCTTAAAGCAACTGAGGCCAATAGGAAAAGGGGACCAGGAACTAGAGAAAAGGTTAGATTAAAAAGAATTAACCTAGAAGGTAACACCCACGCACAGGAAATCAATGTGAGTCAACGCCCTGTATAGCTATCCTTATCTCAACCAGCAAAACCCCTTGTTCCTTCCTATTATTGCTTATACTCTCTCTACAACAAAATTAGAGATAAGGGCAAAATAGTTTCTGCTGGGTATTGAGGGGGGGAGCGGGAGGGGGTGGAGTGGGTGGTAAGGGAGGGGGGGGGGGCAGGGGGGAGAAATAAACCAAGCCTTGTATGCACATATGAATAATAAAAGAAAAATGAAAAAAAAAAAAAAAAAAAAAACAAAGCTAGCCTCAAATTCATGACCTTACTGCCTGTCTCCCAGGTGCTGGAATTACACTACCATACCTAGCTTTTCCCTTTACATTCAATCCAAACTTTATTCTATTCCTTCCTCCTTTTCCTTTTTATTTGCACTATAATTTTGGAGATTGGATTTTCATTATGGAGGAATTCTTTTGAGGGTGAGTTGCTGCCTTTTGGGTTTGTTAAGGTTATGATAGTAACAGAATTTGTGTGGCCAAAAAACCTCTTTGAGAAACCTGTTCATGGTAGGTGCTAGGGATACAGAGATCCATCATACAAGGTCTCAACTTTCAAGGAGCTCAGAGTTTAGTAAGGGAACAAAAGTATAAGTAAACAGTTGCAGTACCAGGTCCCAGATAGGGAGGAAACCCAAGGTAGAGAAGACAAGCTATGCCTGAGGAGGTCAGAGAAGACTTGCAGAGGGAATCAATCTTGAGCTACATTTGGAAGAGTGAGAGGAAAATTCAGGGAGAGCACAAGAGCAGGAGCAAGACCAAGTGAATATGGTACTCACATTAGGATCTGAGACTTTCTCCTGTAGGCATTTGGAGCTGGTAGAGGCTTCAAGTAGAGGGCTGGTATGATCATTGACAACCTGGGGAAGTTAGAGGATGGGGTGAGGTGGAAAGTAGGTAGCTAGGAGACTGGGTCAGAGAGGGCTGACCGAGATCAGGAGGGCAAACCAGGCTGCAAGCAGGCATGTGAGCTGGGATGGAAGGGAGCTAAGTTAAAGAAAGACAGAAGCTGTCAGAATCAACTCCATGTGAGGGGTAAGAGGAGGGTCTATTCTGGCGTGAACCCCCAAATTCTGGGTTGATGCCAAATAGGAAGACTAGGTTTCTAGAGAAGGAAAAAGAAGAATCTTCAGTTCAGGTGTGAGTCTGAGCCCTCTGTGGAATGTGCAGGTGGGATGCTGACATTTTGGACAAGCGTTCTGACCTTAATAGTTCTTATCCCATCAGCTCTGCTGAACAGGAGCAGTGCTCGGTTACTTCCCATGTTATCCTTGCTATTGTGAATGCAGTCATTTCTCACCCAGCAGAATGTGAAGAGGTCCCTGTCTCCTAAGATAGACTCTCAATGGGAAAGTGGGATGAAAATTTTAAAGCCTTTAAATATTTGGAGAGGTAGGTAGGATAATTTAGAAAAGTAAATGTATAACAGTATATAACATAAAAATGCAAATACAGTGACATGTTTATTTTTTATTTGAAATGTCTCATTCAAGGGCCGTAATTAAATTACCATGGGCCATTGAAAGTTTAGCTTAAGTAAAATCTGATAGAAGTTTATTTTTTCTATTTAAAAGCTAAGAAATATTATTTGTAAATATTAAGAATCATTCCTTTTCCTTAGTGCATGGTTGTCTGTAAACCATTGGAAAGAATGAAATCACTAAGTGGAGCAGGGCAACAGTCTTTCATAATGGTAAAGAGACCAGCAATCTTGCTTTAAAATACTTTAAATGTATATTTTAGGTTTGCTCTCCAAAAGAAATCAACCTAAAAATTGGTGTGGTTGTGTCCAGAGCTACTGAGCCTGTTCCTTGGCAGTCTCTGTGGCATCCTGAGTTGTAATTTTCCATGTCATCTAAGTTTGTAATAATTTTTTAATATGATAGAGTTTCAACGAACAAACATTCTGCTTGCTGCATTTCTTCTGAGTGAGTAATTCTCTGACAACTACCAGATCCTGGCTGAAGTAAACCTGGTCATAATTTATGCTCCACTTTCAGAGTGGTGAAACCTATGATATGTAACACAGTGTCTTTGAGTTCAGATGTTGATTTTCCTAAAGGAAATTTGGGACAGAAAGAAAAGGAAACGAAAAGCCAAATTTAAAAGTAGAACTGCTATGTTAGTATAAGACTTAAAATTACGTAAACACTGATGATGAAGTCATTTCTTCAAAGTGAATGACCCTGTAGTGTGTTTCTTTTTTCTCTATGTGCTTGGTTATGCCTTATGTGCTGTCTGAAATTCAGTCATTAAAGGACACAGGGTCTGTGAAATAAATGCATGAGGAGGCAACATGCAGGGACCATTGGCTGGTTTCCATTAATGGCCAACCTAATGTACTTGAAAAGATTAAGAGGCTTGTCTTTTTTGGAAAACATTAAGGTTCTTCCAAAGAAGCAGAAATGTGACTTGACCACACTGTTCATTAACAGGAGCCTGGACATCCGCCATGTCTGTCTGCTGGCTGAATCCAAATTTGTGGTAACTCTCCAGCAAACTCATGGAGGAGGCTTATGTCATCTTCGCTAAGCCAGCCCAACACTTTTTCCATCTGCTAAAATGTAGAATGTGGTTGCTGCTTTTACTCTTTCCCAAAAGAGAGAGACTAGATGAGTTTTTCTTTTAACTCAAAGAGTATATTTTAATTGGCATTTAAAGAATCACTTAAGCTTCCATGGGTTTTGTGCCATCAGTCACCATGGTGTTTCTTGTAGGACAAGGCTGACCACAGAGCAGCTCCTTTGCCAGTGTGTTGGAAGTAGGATAGATGTTTCCAAACTGAAATAATGCCACAACCAGGCCTTCTTTTCATCAGGGTGGCCTCAAAGGTTATTGGGTTGTAGCCACATTGTCTATGTAACTAGAATTAGCACCAGGGTTCCAGGTTTTATTCTCTCTCAAGCAGGATGAACAGCTGAGTTTTGCACAATTGTGAAATCTTCTCTTTTAAATTGCCCTCATTTCCTGTCCTTTTAAATTTTTGCTAAGATATTTGCTAATGGTCTTGGAAGTTGAGAAAATGATTAGATCATTGCCTTATGTTTGCCTTTCATGGGGAGAAAGAACCTGAGGTATTCTGAAATAAAAGGTGTTTCTGCTAAATCAGTTTCTCAGTTGCATTCAGAGTTTGCTACATATGCATATATATATATATATATTGATATTCATGAGAACCTCCCTTATAGGTTATACTATTTATTTCATGTTTTTCCCTTTGCTATTCATAAAATATCTCAAACAAAATGACATCACTTTTTTCATTATTATTTTAAAGGTCTCTGGGGAACAAGACTCATGGAGGAAAGCAACACTAATCGAGAGAAATACCTTAAAAGTGTTTTACGGGAACTGGTCACATACCTCCTTTTTCTCATAGTCTTGTGCATATGTAAGTACACTCTTTCCTTCCCTAGTAGAAAAGTTTTAAAAATGTTTGACTTGTCAAAAATTATAATTAAAAGGAAGTGAATGTGCACCAGAAGGGTCAAGTCAGTAGTTTTCTTCTCATTGTTGTTATCAATTCCAATTTATATTTGGTAAAGTTCTCTTCTACCTCTGGCAAATGCTCACTATAAACCAGCATTGTCTGACCAGTTCATTGTCAATTGTGACCATTTTCACTATGAGATGCACATGGCAACCTGCCATTCACAAACCAAGTGAAAGGATTTTAGAATCAGATTTCAAAACATTATATACAGTTATCACTGTTATGAGATCAATGAACACAATGTCAATCTGAGAATTTTTTTCAGACGATTAACTTTCCAGGTTTAACTTTCAGTAAACACAGTTTCACTTAATATTGCTTTTAATGACATACATGTTTAAAATTTCCCTTATTTTGGTTTTGAGTATGTCATATCAATTCATTCTCATCTATTATTTCTTCCAAATCTTCAGTAATGGTGGGCTTTTGCTCTACAGGACACTTGTGTAGACTTGAGCAGTCTTCTTCCTCTCTTCCTTTAGTGTGTCTGTACATGTACATCCTTTGGTGGGGGAAGAAGAAGAAACCTTACTCAGGAACTATCTCTGAAACCTTTTGCCTCCATGTCCAGAAAGTCACAGTCAAAGATATATCCTGAGTCAAAGCATGTTGGAGATTACATTTCTATCACGGCCATTCCACAGCCCTTTATGAGTATAGACAAGCAGATTTATGTCCCGTAGTCCTTTTACCAAGCTCCTGAGAAGAACATTTTATAGTATGTACATAGAAACATTTAAGGATTAACACCAATCTTCAAAAGGCTCCCCTTTTTTGTATATGGAGAGAATGAGAATTTAATCAACACTTTATATAACTGATCACCTTGAATTTAATTAAGTACCAAATGTTTCCTGGAAGGCAATTAAAAAAATTTACTAGATTTATTAAGAATAAAAAGATTGATAAGTTGAGCATAAAAGGTGAAGGAAATACTTGAGTTTCTATTTGTAATTCTAATAAATTGAATATTAATTCATTTATTACCTCCACAGTGGTTTGTACAAGTACTTGTAAGCTTTAACAGGGCATGTTTTCTGAGACTTTGCTTGCCCAAATGGAAATGTAATTTTAAAAAGAAGTTATTTAAGCTAAAAACTATGTGTGCATGGACAACATAATTTTTTAAAACTATTTTTCTGAAACTTTGCATTTGTTTAGGAGGAATGTCTCATGCTTTTAAAAGTAACATTTTTTTTCTTTTAAAGAAAACTCAAAATGCGTTTTTGTGGAAAGAGCTTTATTTGCCTAGCCTAAAATTAATCAATTTAAATATCTAACTCATTCATTTACTTTTATAAATGTAGAGTTGTGCATCCTTCTTAATTCAATTTTAGAACATTTCCATCACTTCAAAAATATCCCCCTAACTCAAGTGGTCAATGGCAATCAGCCCAATCAGCCCAGTTCTGCTTCAGGTGCTTCACCCACCCATCACTTAACTTTCAGTTCATAGCATTATACTGACTTTTTTGTTTGGGGTAGTTTTGTGAGGGGAAAGAGGATTGTTTGGTTTTGTGTCTTTTAACTAATGCCTCCTCTTCCCGCTTCCCCCTCACTCCAGCAATCACCCTTCTACTATCTGTTTCTGTGACTTTATAGCTATGTTTTTTTCCTCATATAAGTGATAGGACATATTTTTAAACAAACATCTATCTAAAAAATGCTAAAAGCTAGAAATTATCTATATATTGCATTAAAAGTTGAATAGCAAGAGGCATAATATATTAAACTTTTGTGTTATAGCTGTTAGAGCTTAGGATACTGAGGTTGAGTTTGTTCCTGGCATAGAAATAGTGCTTAAATATCAAACTGCAGTGGTTTTAAATATTAACAGGTTGATAGGAATTGCTAAACTTTTTCAAGCGTTGCATATATAAACATATTTCTTATGCCAAATAGGTTACCCCTGTTAAATCTAGAATTTCAGTCAGCCCCCAAACTGCCTGAGCATCAGAATTGCCAAATTAAAAAAAAAATTCATTGTGTCCAGATCCACTAAATCCAAACTTTCAAGATGTGGCCCAGGGAACTGAGTTTTCAGACGCACTGCTAAGTTTGGGAGCTAAGCCAGAGGAGTAAACTGAAGAACTAGAGTTTAGGAAATATGCCGGAAGTCAAATAAGAAGGCAGCGTTTTCCTGTTTATTTCAGAATGTATGTAGTTTTTTTTGGTTTTTTCACATTCATCACATTTTTGTCTTCTATTTGTAGCTATAGTTTACATAAAAAATTGTATTTTTGGAATATTGTAGCATCTCTGGTTTAGCAAGGATCGGAGTAGTTATATGGTTAAACCTCCCAAGTGGTCAGTCATCCTGCTTCTGGTTGAGCAAGATTCACAGCTTAAAAGACTGATTTCTTTGAAACCATCTCCTTTTTCTGTGGCTAAGTGAGAAAGTTCTTCTGTCCATGAAGCCAAAGTCTACCTCTACCAGCTTCTCCTAGTTCAATCTCTGAGCACATTTATTCCAAGTGCCTTTTCCATGTCTGTTGTAATTAAGCCCTTTGGAAGTTTGCAGACAGACATCAGTCTCCCCTAAGTCCTCCCCAGGCTGAACCTTTCCAGTTCCTTCACCTGTTGATGCTGTGATTGGGTGCATGGCTTTGAGTAACTCATGATGGAAACTCCTACCAAAATGGGTGGCATATGTTCTGCTCATCAGAACAGCAGGGCTGTTCTCATTCAGATACCTCACTGTCTTCATGCATGCATCCATGGCCAGATTCAAGAGGCTGCTTATTGGCATCAAAGGGTCCATACCAGAAAGCTCTATGTCTTCCAGCTGGTATTGGAGCACTTTTTTCCTGGAGGTCTTCCCTTTTATCTCATTAGAATCTGCTCACCATGCCAATCTGCAGAAATTATCCTGGACCTAGATTCATACATCTCAAATATCAGCCAGTTGTCTCAGCCTTGCTCTGTCAGCCATGATATCGTCATGTCCTTGAAGTTACTAAGTCAAAAACTGTAGTCTAAGAACACCAGTCCATTAATCAAAGCCATTTGACTAGAGTTCACTTTATTATGTTATAATCCAGCTTAGTGTTTATGAAATAGGCTGATGAGAAAGACTTTCTATGCTGGTCTGAATAACTTCACCATTCCTCAAGCTGTAGACTAAATTCAAAAGCAGGTACAGATTTACTCCTAATAAAGCCTTACTGACTCCTAGTGATTGAGTTCTTTCTTGGTTGCTTAGGAACCATGTTTTTGATTACTAGTTCTAAAATCTTGCCAGCAATATCATTATCAGTATCAAATGACCAAGAATAGCATACTCATTATTGTGTATGCACAGGAGATAATGTAATTAACCCTATCTATGCTTTGCATGTTTACATGCTAGAAAATCTTCATAGTAATAGTAAGACTTCTGGAATGCAGCTTGACATTCTACAAAAAGTGTAATTGTTTTTTGCATCAGGCAGATCTTAATTCAAATCCCAGCTCTACCACTGACATACTAGGTAAACTTGAACAAGTTATTTAGTCTTTCTGAGCATTTTTTTTCTTCATATATAAAATATTTGTTTTGGAAGATTGTCATGAAGAGTATAAATAATACATGAAAAGATATTGGGGTACTGTCATACAAGAGTTGTAAGAAGTAAATTTTCCTGCAGACCGTTAGCAATGCTGAATTATCTCATCAATGAGTTTTGAGAACCATAGTTTGTAATTGTTTAGGTCCAGACTCTGGTTCCTTTGGGTCAGCTAAGTGCCTAATTAACAGTTTATTTTCATTTTACCAATGTCAGTCTTATTCCCTTGTTTTAAAAATCAGTGTGCTTTACCAAGAGGATAGAAATAACGTGTGAATTATGTAATTCCACTTTCTCTCTAATTTGACTTATTCTTCCTTGAAACCCAAGGTTACTATGAATTCATCCTCAAAGTACTTTCAAATATATATGGGTTACTGTTACAAACAGCAGTGGTATTTCTATAGTGTGTTAGGTGCTGAAGTTAAAGAAAGGAATATGTAGTATTTTAGAAGATCTTTTGTGTGTGTGTGTGTGTGTGTGTGTTTTTATTCATATGTGCATACAATGTTTAGGTCATTTCTCCCCCCTTCCCCCTGCCCCCTCCCTTTTCCCTGCTCCCCTTCCTCTCCCCCCCATACCCCTTCACTACCAGGCAGAAGCTATTTTTGCCCTTATCTCTAATTTTGTTGAAGAGAGAGTATAAGCAATAATAGGAAGGACCAAGGGTTTTTGCTAGTTGAGATAAGGATAGCTATACAGGGAGTTGACTCGCATTGCTTTCCTGTATATATGTGTTACATTCTAAATTAATTCTTCTTGAACTAACCTTTTCTCTAGTTCCTGGTCCCCTTCTCCTATTGCCTCTGTTGCTTTAAAGTTTCTGCATTAGTTTCTTTGCATTGAGGACATCAAATGCCATCTTGTGGTTTTTTTGGGTTTCATGCCTACCCTCATACTCCCTTGTGTGCTCTCGCCTCCTCATGTGATCGAAGTCCAATCCCCTTGTTGTGTTTGCCCTAGATCTAAAGTCTGCATATGGGGGAGAACATGTGATTTTTGGTCTTCTGGGCCTGGCTAACCTCGCTCAGGATGATGTTCTCCAGTTCTATCCATTTACCTGCAAATGATGAGATTTCATTCTTCTATTTTAGAAGATCTTTGAAAAAAGCAAAAGATGGCATTTGATGAATCTAAGATAAAATTACATTTGCCTTTTCCTTTTTCAGTATTCTCTACTCACTTTATAAAACTGTTCAAACTTCTTAAGTGTAAACATAATAATACAAATCACAGAAGATAGATGAATCAGTATTACAGAAATTGATTTGACTTATTTCTATAAGTCAAAGAAATAGACAAAATTAAAAGGCTGAAAAAATTTCTAAAAACATAATGAATATCACAAAGAGTTAATACAACACATTTTAAACTCGAGAAATCACTGAGAAAAATGGTAGAATTCTGTAAATATTTTGCAGAGTTAAAAATGTAACTTATTTTACAGAGTAGAAAATATAATCTGTTAGTGTGGGAAAGTCTTGAATTTTAAATTCACTGGTATACAAACAAGAAAGAAGACAGAGAAATGAACAACAAAATCATAGACAATATGGTATGTCCTTGGACTGGTGGAGCCGTTTTAAGAAGAAATCTATGTATCTCTATTTCCTAATCTCTGGAAGGAAAGCTACCTTACTTTCTTAAAAAACAAGGAATATTTTACTTTACTTGTAAAAATCTTGCAAGGGTAATAGTCTGAAAAGAGTTCTCCTAAATTGCCTGTGAATCCACATAGATTCAGTGGCTGATAACAATGTTCAGAGAAGTCAAGGTTGGTGTTTTATCACCATATCAGGGAGGAGTTAATTCCATATCTGGTGACTAGAATCCTGATAGCTTTCCACAACAAACACCTTCAACCTGAAGATCACGAGTCATGGTCCATGGACCATGCCTGGAAAACTCCTATCCTTTCTTAGTAAGTGCCTAGGAAAGACTCAATTTTACAGTAACAGTGAAAGAAGGATGTATAGAAATTCCTTTAAGCAGGACCTTAACTCCACATGCGTATCATGTGGCTTTTCTTTTGTCTCAAATAAAGCAAAAAATACTAGTCCAGCACAGGCATTCTCCAAAGATCTTATATTAGTAGTTTCTATCCTTTGAAAATTTTCATTTTCTTTGAAATTTTAACCAAAACTGGATTCAAATATGTGGAAATTTTAGTAACTATTTCATGAATTCTTTTGTTGATTCTGCAGTTTATCTTTTATATCATAAAAGGCTAAGATCAAAATGGATCGCTTCATTGGCAAATTCTATGGGCTCTTTCATCTTCTCCAGTATTTATTACCATTGCATTTGGCCTTCCAGAACTTCCCTCTTTGGCTTTTGTGACTCCCTGTCTCACTGTGTTCCTCCTTGCCCTTTTACTTTCTTAGTTTTCTCCTATGTGAAACACGTTTAGTGGTGTGTTCTCTGTGACTGGGTCTTTGGCATTCTCGTCAGTTGATGTTTTCCATAGCAAAGCTTCAACTAGTGTTATATATGGTGTCTCAAAGTCTCTTCTCCCAGTTCTAGACCTCTCTTGTGGGCTAGATGCCTCATGCCAACTTCTTGACATCTTAAATGGGATCTCACAGGCATCTCACACCTAACAGTCCTGAACTTGTCTCTTCATCCCATCCATCTAAACATATTTCACTCAGGTTCTCTTATGCAGATGAACATTCCATTGCCCCATGCCATGAAGGCCTCACCCCAAACCTGAGTGGCATCCAACATGCCTTCCTTTCCTCTCGATGGCATCATTCTACCTCTTCAGCACCTCTCAAATCTGTCTTCATTCACTCATTCCTCGTTAAACCCTCATCATGTGTTCCATTATTGCTTTTTTTCATTCACGTAACAGTTTAATAACTTAATTGAAAACAGATGTAGGCCCTGCCCTTAAGTGTGGTGATATGAAAGAAGTCAATTAGGGAAGAGGGTTCCTCTATAGGAAAGGTCTCTCGAAAGCATGGAGTGGGAAGCAGTCCATGAAGGGAGAACTGCATACATGAAAGTTGTGAGGCTGAAAAACACTCAGCACTTCCTAAATGTTGACAAAAGCTATCAACTAAAGATGGAAAAGGAGTCAGGGGACAGATTGTGTAAGTTTGGTGGGCTTTGATAAGCAGTGGAAATCTGGGGTTCTAAGTAGGACAGTAACAAGATTTATTCTAATGCTAAGAAGATGATGCTAAACATCATGTGGAGTGGATAGGAACCCTCTTCCTGTGTCTGGACTTTCAGGATTGTTTCTGAATCCAAATTAATGGGGGCCACTCTCCTATTGAACATACTGTAGTCATGTGGCTTTCAAGATGAACTTTAAAATCTTTAGATAGTGGACTAGCCTTTAACTACATGGTATTTGCTTACTTCTTCTGAACTGTCACTATGTAGAAGCATCTGGTACTTTAACCTCATTTCACCAGTTTTGATTCTCAAAATGACCTCTGTGTATAGTGTTCCCTTCAGATCTATCTGCCACATTCCTCCTATTATAGAATTACTGAACAATATTTGTGAGAGCATGATAGTGTAGACTTCATTCAGGACCATCATGATAGGTGTAGGAACCATGGGTCTTCCAGTGGTGAGAGACCCTGGGTTCAACTTTGAATGCCCATGGGCAAGTAGGAGTTTATGGCCAAGGAGCAAGTAGGGGAGCGGTAGGTGGAAAATTCTTAAGAGGCTGTGTGAATGTGTGTGCAGATCCCCTCCCATACCTCACTTGGCTCTTTCTATGTTCCAGTGACCTATGGCATGATGAGCTCCAATGTGTACTACTATACCCGGACCATGTCACAGCTCTTCCTTGACACCCCTGTATCCAAAATGGAGAAAAATAACTTTAAAACTCTCTCTTCAGTGGAGGACTTCTGGAAGGTATTTGCAAATGGTTGAAAATACCTCTTTATCTCTCACAATTGTTCATTGGGTGTCACATGTCTTATACACAAGTATCTTCCATGCCTGCTCTGTGTTTACCACTTGTGTGAGATGCTATAAGTTATGGTGAGTTGTTCATAATTACTCTTCCTACCCTTAAAGAGGAGTAAAGTATCAGTCACTAAGAACCTTGCTAGTGGCCTGCAGTGGGCTGAGTGTTTCATCCCTTGCCTTATTTAAATACTCATAGTGACCTTACCAGTTAAGTACTAATCCTGTGCTACATTTTGTAAAGGGGGCATATAAGATTCGGGATGCTTAGGTGTCTAGGGTCACATGACTGAAAAATAAACAAAACAGATCTTTCCTAGCATCACAGCCACTTCTTCATAATAACTTATTATTCATTCAGTCATTCCTAATTCAATAAATATTGATTGAGAATCTCCTAGAATCCTAGACCCAGGAAGGCCTCTTGGATATTCTATTTTATTTTGCTTTTTGTGCTTTCTGTCTCTATTAAGGATAGCATGTATCCCCAGCTCCTAAAAAGTACTTGATAAAAGGTAGACATGTTATTTCAAAGGTCTGCTAATGTAAAATCAACTCAGTCCATTCTCTAGTTGTTGCAAATTCCAACATAACAGAAGATATATGCAATGACTGACTCTGTAGGGAAAATACTAAGCCAATCTGGAGATATGGTGCTTGGAAATTAAGAAACAATTAAAAGGGAAGTTGGAAAGTAAATCATTGCTCCTCACTAGGGAAATACTTTGTAAAATGCTGTCTAATTTCTGAGTTCAGAACTGATTGATTTTAAGCATAGAGAAAACTGGGTCTTGGAAACCTATTAATGCATATATAACAGCACTCAGCAAACAAAAGCACATTGCATAATATTAACCTTTCCCCAGATCAGTCTATCTCTATTAATCATCTGATGAGAATAACATACTCAGTTGCTAGATCTGTCCTCCCAAGAGGCACAGTTTCTTGTGCAAAATTGTAAGAATCATCTCACACATACGTAGTTCCATTATAATTAATGTCAGTGTCTAACAAGGCAGGAGGGGTTAAAGGACTCCCCATCTGGCAAAATAGTCCAGACCATAAAAAAAAGGATCCACTAGATGGCAGACTGGTAATCAACACTGTTGCCTTAGTGTTGCTCCAGACAAGTTCAGAATCATGATTGTGTGGGATGCTGTTTTCATAAGAGAAAGTGCCGTTATGGTGGTCACGAATTTATCCAACACCCCCACGCTGCTTCCTCTAGTATCAGAACAGAAATCAGAGTTGGCCATGTATTAAGCTTCTGTCCTGTGCCAAGTGTACTAATCTCACAAAAGATGGATTTTTCTGATCTGACAGCACTGGTTCAGTGGTACCAAGACCCAACAGCTACCAACTAATGAAGGAAGACCCAAACCCAAATCTCTGACCATAAAGCCCACTCTTAAAGCTCTTCCTTATTCAGAGAGTTGTCGGCGTCTTGCTCACACAAGCTCTCCAGGAAGTAGCAAGGCAGCTGCTGAGCTTGGAGCCTTTCAAAAACTTCATTTGCTTTCAGTTCACAGAAGGTGCCTTACTGGATGGGCTGTACTGGAAGATGGAGCCTGGCAACCAAACGAGAGCTGACAACCGAAGTTTCATCTTCTATGAGAACATGCTGTTAGGGGTGCCACGATTACGGCAACTCAAAGTCAGAAACGGGTCCTGTTCCATCCCCCAGGACTTGAGAGATGAAATTAAAGAGTGCTATGATGTCTACTCTGTCAGTAGTGAGGACAGGTCCCCATTTGGACCAGGGAATGGAACCGCGTAAGTGTCTGTGACTCATGGCCACTCAAGTGACTTTCCTTCATTCTTTGACCACCCACCTACATTCATTCATTTGCTCTCTGACAACTTCACCAAGAAGATGCCTAGAGACTCTGTAGTGCTTATATGTAAGACTGGTCCAGTTCACTTTTGGTTCTCATATTTTCTCTAACTTTTACCCCCTTTTAGTTTCTACATGCATATTTTGATAAGGTCAAATTTTGTTTGCCACTCAGTCCACAAAAATTATCTAAGTCTTTGGAGATTTTGTGATTTTGTTTAGGATTCTCTGGTCTTTTTTTTTTTTTTTTTTTTTTTGCAGTACTGGGGTTTGAACTCAGGGCCTCATATGTGCTAGGCAAGTATTCTACCTTTCTGCCTCTTGATCCACTTCACCAGCCCTTTTTTTGTGATGGGTTTTTCAAGATAGGGTCTCATGAACTACTTGTCCATGACTGGCTTCCAAACTTAATCCTCCTGATCTCTGTCTTCTGAGTAGCTAGGATTATAGGGGTGAGCTACTGGCACCCAGCTCCCAGTCCTCCTTTTATAGGTTCAATAACATTGTCCCTCAGATTGTTTACTAGGAGGTTCTATGATACAGAAATTCTTCTTTTTGTAGCTCTTAAAAATACATTTTTGTTCAAGATGCAATTACTTAAAATGTGGGTTGTTTTATTGACACATAACAGTTGTAAATATTTATGGATACAGTACAATCATTTGATGCATGTATACAATGTATAAATAACTTCGAAATCTAGATAAATGGCATTTCCATCCCTTGAAACATTAATCATTTCTATGTGTGGAGGACCATCAGGCTCTTCTAGTAATTTGGAGACATCAGAAACTTTCTTAGACTGTTTACCTATGAGATTCAGAACACCAGAACTGTCTCCTCCTCTTTGCCTGTGTTTTGAGACCCATTATCATCATGATGACTGTCTATCACCCTCCTTCCTACCTTTCGTAGTTTCTGGTGACCACCACTCTGCTCTTATCAGTTAGACCAACTTTCTTAATTTTCACATATGAGCAAGAACATGCAGTTGTTATTTCTCCTTCTGTTCTTGGTTTATTTTACTTAACATCACCAGTATGTATCCACTTTAATGCAAATAACAGCATTTCATGTTTTTTTATTGAATAATATTTCATTATATATGTACCAGCTTTACTTTTTCCTTTTGTTATTAGCCTATATTAACTGTCCAGAGTAACTGGTTTTATTGTGACCCATTCATAAATGCATATAATGTACTTTGATCATATATACCGCCTCGATTACACATCCTTTCTCCTCCCTCCTGTCTACTTCCATAATATCCCTAATAGTACTCCTTTCCCACTCATGTCCCATTTTTCCTCTAAATTCCACATATGAGGAAACAAAAATGGGATATTTGTCTTTGTGAATCTGGCTTATTTTGCTTCACATGATAATCTCTAGTTCCATTCATTTTCTTGCAAATGACATGATTTTGTTCCTAATGGATAAATAATACTCCTTTGTGTACATATACCAGATTTTCTTTGTCCATTCATCCATTGATTGACACCTAAGCTGATTCCATAGTCATAGTTGAACTATTATGAATAGGGCCATGATAAACATGAGTTTGTAAGTTTCTCGTATAGTAAGCTGACTTTGATTCTTTTGGGTATATACTTAGAAGCAGTATAGGTGATCATATGGTGGTTTTGTTTTCAAGGATTTTGAATTTTTAATTTTTTGAGGAACCTCCATACTGATTTCCATACTGGCTATACTAATTTATTTATATTGGCACCAACAATGTATATCTAAGTGTTCCTTTTTTCCATCACCACATCCTTGCCAGCATTTGTTAATTTTTGTTTTCGTCATGATAGTCATTTCAATTGGGATGAGATAGAATCCAATGTACTTTTGATTTGCATTTCTCTGATAGCTAAAGATATTGGACATTATTTCACATATTTATTTACTTTGTATCTCTTCATTTCAAAATTATCTATTTAGTTGATTTGTCCAGTTATTGGTTGGATTATTTGCTCATTTGTATCTTAATTTTTTGAGTTCTATATATATTCTGGATATTAATCCCTTGTCTGATGGATAAGTGGCAAAGATTTTCCCCATTCTATAGGCTGTCTCTTCACCTGGTTCATTGTCTCCCTTGTATTTGATGGAATTGCATTTGTCAATTCTTGCTATCATTTCCTGAGCTGTTGGAATTCTGTGCTTCATTCTTGTGTGTTCTCCTCTAGCCATTTCAATGTTTCAAGTCTTCAATTGAAGTCGTTGATCCATTTTAATTAGATTTTGTGTTCAGGGTGAGAGATAGGGGTCTACTTTCAGTCTCCTATATGTAGATTCTTAGTGTTACTGACACTATTTGTTAGATATGATTTTTTTTTCAATGATTTTTTGACACCTTTGCTGAGAATAAGTTGAAGCTGTGTGGGCTTATTTTCCTTTCCATTGGTCTACATGTGTGTTTTTGTGCCAGTATCATGTTGGTTTTGTTGCTATGGCACTACAGTGTAGTTTGAAGTCAGGTATTTTGATAGCTCCAGCTTTGTTCTTTTATCTCATGATTGCTTTGGCTGTTTGGGATCTTTTGTATTTCCATTCATATTTTATGAAATTTTTTCTGTTTCTGTGAAGGATGTCATTGAAATTTTAATGGAGATTGCATTTTCTGTCTAGATCATGTTTGGTAATATGGCCATTTTAATATATTGATTCCGCAGATCCATGAACATGGCATATCTCTCCATCTTCTAGTATGCTTTTTTAATTTTTTTCTTCAGTGTTTTATAGTTTTCATTATAGAGGTCTCTAGCCTGTACAGTGGTTCAGATTACACCCAGATATTTGATTTCATTCTATTTTTTTGAGGCTATTTGAATTCAAGTACTATATTCAGTGTAAGAGTGGTGAGAGTAGACTCCCTTGTGTTGTTCTTGATTTTAGAGGAAATGCTGTCAGTTTTTCCCCATTCAGTGTAATTTTGGCTGTGTGTTTTTCCTATGTAGTCTTTATTATGTGGATCCTTCTGTTTCTAGTTTCTTCAAGACTTTCATCATGTTGAATTTTGTCATGTGCTTTTGTTGCATTTATTGAAATGATCATGTGATTTTTTTTCCCCTTAATTCTGTTTATGTGTTGTACAACATGTATTGTATTTACGTATGTGGAACCATCTTTATATTCCTGGAGTAGAACCAATTTTATCATGGTATATGGTCTTTTAAATGTACTGTTCAATTCAATTTGAAAATATTTTATTGAGTATTTTTTTCTCTATATTCATCAAGGGAATTAGTTTATGGTTTTCTTTCTCTGTTGTATCTTTAGCCAGTTTTAGTATTAGGTTAATTGGTTTTGAACTGGATGCCAGTGGCTCATGCCTGTAATCCTAGCTACTCAGGAGGCAGAGATCAGGAGGATTATTGTTTGAAGCCAGCTGGGGCAAATAGTTCACGAGAATCTAGAGAAAAGCTAATGCAGAAAAGGGCTGGCAGAATGGCTCGAGTGGTAGAGCACCTGCATAATAAGCATGAGGCCCTGAGTTCAAACTAGAGCACTGCCAAGAAAAACCAACCAAAAACAAAACCCTGGATTCATACAGTGAGTTTGTTGTGTTCCTTCTTTTTCTATTTTATTGGAATAGTTTGAAAAGCATTGGTGTTAGTTCTACTTTAAAGGTCTGGTAGAATTCAGCTGTGAATCTGTCTAGTTCTTGAGTTTGGTTTTGAGAGATTATTGGTGCTTTAGTCTCATTGCTCATTTATAGTTTTTATATTCTCTTGGTTTAATTTTAGTAGATCATGTGCGCCTGGAAATATATACATTTTTTTAGGTTTCCCAACCTATTTGAATATTCTCTAATGGTCATCTGATTCTTCAGTGATCATCTGGTATCTGTTGTAATATCTCCTTTTTCACCTCTATATTAATTTGTGTCTTCTCTTTCTTTTGATTAGTTTGGCTAATACTCTGCATTTCATTAATTTCAGCCTTGATCTTTATTAATTCTTTCCTTGCAATAATTTTGGGTTTTGCTTATTTTTTTTTTCTAGACCTTCAGATGTATCATTAGGTTAATTATTTGAGTTCTTTTTGATTTTTTAATATAGGCATACATAGCTGTAAAACATAACATAAAGGCAGTTGTGCCTTTACTGTGTCCAACATGTTCTGTTGAATGATGTTTTCATTTTCATTTGATTCTAGGGATTTTTTTAAACTTCCTCCCTGTATTTTTATAGTTTCTCTTGATGTTAATTTCTGTTTTTATTTTATTATGGTCTAGAAGATATAAGAAATTTAAAACATTTTTCATACTTGTTAAGTCTTACTTTATGGCCTAAAATGTGATCAGTTTTGAAGAAAGTTCCATGGACTGTTGAGAAGACTGTGTATCTGCAATTGCTGGATGGAATATTGTATAATGTCTACTAAATCCATTTGCTCTGTGGTTCAGTTTAATTCTCATATTTTATTATTAATTTTTTGGCTGGGTGATCTATCTATTCATGACAATTGAATGCATCCACTATTTTTGTATGTGGACCTATCTGACTCTTTATGTTCAGTAGTGTTTGTTTTCTAAAATTAGGTGCACTAACATTTGGTGCAGGTATATTTAGGATAATTATGTCTTTTTTGATGGATTGTTCTTTGTATTCATATGTAGTGACCTTCTTTATCTCTTTTTACTAATTTTGACTTTGAGTATGCTTTGTCATATACTAATATAGAATCCCCCATCTTGTTTTCTGATTCTGTTTACTTGAGCTATCATTCCCTGCTTTCACTTTCAGTCTGTGTATGTATAGCTTTGCTAGCGAGATATGTTTCTTGCAGGTGACAAGTAGTTGGATGTTGGATTTTAATAGTTAGCCAGTCTATATCCTTTAATTAGAGGGTTAAGATCATTTACACTTAGGGTTATTATTGAGGAATGTGTGCTTTTACTTTTTTCCTAGTTTATTTAAGTTGTTTTTGT